GTTAACGAGCAGTTGGACAGGTGTACCTAATAAAGTGGCCGGTGAGTGTATTTTTAAATTTTTGTTTAAATTTTAGAAAAACTGAACATCCTACAGTATTTTTACAGTCTTTATTTTACAGTTAAAGTACATGTTTATCATATAAAGTCTAATGTTACAACTAATCGGGGATCCCTTTAAGAAGGATAAATACAAGTAATTTTTTTTACAAGCATTTCTTAACCCTTTCATCATCCATGGTTTGTCAGCATTTCTTGTAGCAGTTTTATTGTATGCAATTATTGTAGCTAATACAGAGCTCCCAAAATATTCATAAAAACATCACAGGGCTCTGTTTACATCATCAACATACACATCCTTCCCGTTTAGTGTTTTTAAATCAACTTTCGGTTTATCCAAAGCTTTTTTTATGCATTTATCTGCTGTCCGTTTGTCAGTGTACTTTATGTTAATTCATTTTGTATTGAAGTTGATTCAGTCATCTTATTTTATTTGTCTGAGATCTTTTTCTGTTTTTCTAGCAAACTTGCCTCATGTGCGATATTTCCGGAGAGTTTTTGTTTGTTTTGTTMAATGTTCATTGATGTACACACTTGTTCTCTTCAGCTGTTTTGCTTTATTCAATTATTTCTTGATTTRCTGCTAKTGAATCTGATCACAATAGACGGTTGGAATTTTTCTCATCTACCAGGCCAGGAAAGACAGATATTAATGTCCTCAGTTTGGATGTCAATGCCTTCACTTTGTAAAAAAAGAAAGTCATCACCAGTCCAGAGTCAGCAGGTCCTCTATTGTCCCTGAATTCACTGTAACTCGAGCGTAGGTCTGATGTTTTCTTTAAAGTCCAGTAATTAAGGAATGGTCTCTTKTTGTGTATTGCTCCAATTTTACGTCATTCAGCTTCACTTCTTCTATCAACCCGATCAAAAGTACTGCCAAGGTATTCTGTACCAAATTTACAGACATGGCTCGCCCAGGCCCTGGCCTGTAACCCATCAAACTGAGGATTAAATTAAATTTGGTCAAAATGACCTAAGCACATTTTCAGATTCATGCCATTTTAAGCTACGTCTTGATACTTGATCATCCTGACATCACGAGCAGTTCAAGAGACATTGGCTCGATTTGTTTTTCTAATCAGCCATTGAAATCTGGTCTGAATCCTTTTTTTAGGTTATTCTAATGAGAATTGTTTTAAATGTCGTTCTAAAGAGGAAACCTCAAAAATATTTGGATACAAAAATTTACCAGGAAAGAAAAAAAAGTCTTTGCAAGCTTGCAGGGAAAATATTAAAAAATTAAGGCATTTATTGCTTAAAAATTTTTTTTGTTGTAGTTGCTACTGCTCAAAAACACAAATACTTCAAGAATCATTTAAGATTATATTTCAGACAGATGATTCAAATGTTCCATAGATAAGATATTTACTCATATTTTGACAAAATGCAACTGCTGAAAATGTTTTAACTAATGCACAAGAGCTGCTTATTTGTCCACAATCTCTGCTTTGGAACTCAATTCCTGGGTTGATGTGATGGCTCACATTTATAAATTAAATTTACTCACATTTTACATTGCGAGAGCCAAGTGTCCTCAATGTGCAGGGTGATGGAAATGACTTTAGAGTTGAAACACAGGTATGAACGCTCTTTAGATAAAGGTGTGTTTCACAGAACCAGAACCAGAACTGGGCATGATGAATAGTTCTACCACATTTCAAAGTACCAACACTGAGCACACACATTATATCTGTAAAAAAAGATGTATGATCACACAGAATCAACTGTTGCTCCCATTAATCTGAAAAGARCTGCGGGTCATTTCCAAACATTTTAGAGTAAATCGATTTTTTTGTCTGAAAAATGTGATTCATTGATGGAAACTTTTAAAACTGCTGCCAGTTTTCCAGGAGTGGACACCCAAGCAAATTCACCCCTAAGTTCAGACCGTACACTGACCAGAGAAAACCCATAAACTCGAAAAGCTTCATCTCAGAATTTACAGATTTGTTGTTGTTTATTAAATAATGAAGTATGGAATATGTTATGAATAATTTTAGAACCTTGTAACGAGCAGATCTCTCTTTACTTCAGTACGTCCTGATARGCAAAACAGAATTAACCGAAAGAGGCCTGTCATTTCTCCACGCCTGCCTCTCACCGACTGACTAAGTACCATGTTGGGAGCTCAAATTGGACGCCCACGCTTCACATTCACTCCCCCGCCCCCTCCAACAACCCTCACCCCCAACCACTCACCTCAGGGGTCAGTGTTGCACAGATGGGTTTGTTCTGATACATTAGTCAGATTGAAATCACAAACAGGCTTCATAAATTCATGTTTGGGGAATGCGGACACGCCTTTTCACTTAGTAACTAATAGCCGCATCAACCGGCTCTGCCCCGGTGTCCTCCAAAATTACATTTCTTCGTATACGATTAAATCCGATTGGCTGCACTCGGCATTTCCATTGCGTTTCGTCTGAAAGTGCAGCCTGCGTTTGTGCGAGCGGAGAACAAACACCAGAGTCCCGGGTGAAAGCAGAGATGGCATGAAATGCTATTAAAGTGACGGGGCATTTTCCTCTGACAAACACATCAGTGTTTGCGGGCACGGCTTTCATGCTGATGATGATGTGAAGAGAGACAGAGTGGGCGAGAGAAGAGGCCGATGGCAGCAGAGAAAATCAGGCAGGGCAATAAGAGACATTATGTGCCTGTGGCTCCACCAGCACACCCCCCCCCACACCCTCTCCCCTGCCTGCTCGCTGTTTCTGTCTGTGCCCCAGGGCAGGTATACATTCAGCTGGATTCCTGGCTTGGTCCCGAGACGCCCCCACACATCCACATTACTGTGGATTTATTAAAACCTTCCCCTCATCGAGCTACTGTGCGTGACTATTTATTATTATTTTTTTCTTATTTGTGTCCTGTGTAACATCTCTGACTGGGTTTTTTGTGCAAGCTTGCCAAACTGCAGCCTTATAACTCGTCATTTCTTTGAATAATGCCTCCTTTAGATACCTTTTTTAAATCAATTATTAAATTTACTGCCAAGAACTGCCACGAACTGTATTATTAGCACTACATACGGGTTTTTATTTTATTTCTTTCCTCACAACACGATGCCTCGCACGTCTTCATAGCTGAAAACAAGTCACCTGGGAAAGCAACAGCTGCCAACAGTTTGTGGTGGCTTGGGAACAATTTAACATTTTTTACCCATGAGCATGAATACTAATTGAGAAGTGAAGCCTTTTCCATGTGTGTGTTTGGTTTTTTTTTTTTTTTAACAGGTTGTAAAATGGAAAAAGGATTGAATTAATGGAGAAAATCACAGAGTCTCTTTTGAAAGCAGTGGGAACAGACACAGGCTGGCTGCTGGTTMCTGCCACGGTTTTGAAAAAGTGTCAAAAATGCATTTTTTAATTTTTTTATTTTTGATCATATTGTTCCGGTAGCTCAAAGAAACAGTGTGGGGTTTCTCCGGTTGTCTACAGTGACGACCCACGACCTGTTGCTGTTAGCTGTCTGTCAACCACTGAAACGCAAGGATTCAATTTCAATTTTCTGATCGCAAAAACACCAACAGTCACTCTTTTTAAGCAAATGTATTTTTTTTTAAATAAAGTTTTGCAGCAAGCTATGAGAGTTACTGTGTRGACTGGTGAAACTAAAAAAATGCAGTGGCTAATTAACTTACATCAGCTTCATGGGCTGGTTTAAAGTAGACCACAGTTTTAAAAAGGTCACAGTGTCGAGACCATTAACTGTTTTTGGTCTTAATGTTGCAGCGGTTTCAATTTCTTTTAATGAGATTCTTGAGGCAGAGTGGAGTTTTGTTCCGGTTTATGCAGCTTTATCGGTGAAATAAACSGGGTTCCTGTGGAGTCTTGAAAAGTGAAATTTGGTTTCGATATTTTTCAGGTTCTCTGTCAGCATGGAAAAAAAATGAAACAGTATGTGAAAAACTTTAGTTTTCTGTTTTTCTCCCCAAATGT